AAGGCCCAGTGCTGAGGTGTGAAAAGAATTACTGTTAAATATGGTGTTCCTCTAAGAACCCCTTGAAATAAATTTACAAAGCAAAACGTTTTATCATTTTAAATTCTTCACTCTCAGTGTGTTGTGTCGGATTTGAAGTGAATGCTCTGTGGGAAACATTGGCTTTAAAATTTTTATTTTCAACCTGTAGCCCCGGCTGGCCGGCGACTCCTCATGCACACCAGGATTGTCGCCAACACACAGAGCTCCACCTAGTCCTGCCTCTCACATGCAGGCCCATTTTTCATTTGTTTGTTTTATTTTTGAAGAACCTCCATGCTGAGTTGCATTGTGGGTGCAGTGAGTTGGATTCCTATTAATTTTCTGTGTATATGTTGTTGCTCTTGTTTTGTCTCTACTATTTGCTGTTAACATCAATTTATATTTATTTATATATTTATGAGCATTTTTTACACTTTGATTTGAAAAGGCAAGAAGAGGTCCAGTCATTTTTTTTTTTTTTCCGCGAGACACAATCTCAGAGCAGAGCAATGGAGAGAAATGGATGCTTCTCCGGTAAATATTCAAGACCAGTGTAATTTCTATTTTTTTCTGGGAATGTTATATGTTGAGATTATGAAAACCTTTAAAAATCCTGTCTTGAAAATGTTACCTGGAGGCTGGAGAAATGACTCAGAAACAAAGAACACATTCTGCTCTTGCAGAGAACTGGAAGTCAGTTCATAGCACTCATGTATTGGCTTGTAACCATCCATCATTCCAGTCCAGGGAGTTTAATGTCTGTTAAGGATTTCTCATACATACCCAACACGATGCTTTTTATGATACTCAATAAAGACAGAGAAAACCACTTTGTTTTGGATAGACAGATACATACAGAGTACACAGACAGACAAAGAAACACACAGAGAGAAAGAGACAGAAAACAGACACACAGGGACAGAGTCACAAGACAGCCCTTAGGCAGACACAGATTCAAACTCATGGAACAGAGAACCATGGGATGGAATGGACAGAGAGCTGAAAGTAGAGAATTTAAATCTGGATTTTCTCTGGGTTAAATGACTCCAAGGAAAAATGCTTTCATTTCTTTCCTTGACTCAAATAGAATGCATTATTTGTGTCATGGAGTTAAGCACCAACATGTTTAATCCATGAACATATGCAGAACCTATTAGGTGGTGACTTCATTGTTGTTCCATATGGAGAAAAACAACAGAACTTACACAATGTGAAATGAGCAGTCCCATCATCTGGGCTCAGAACCCTGTGTTTTAAGGACACACCTGTAGCTGTCTGTCCTTTGTATTTCTGTGTGCTCACCTCCCTGCAGAGCTGGGATGCCTATTACCTGCCACGATCATCACAGCACAGCTTAAACATCAGAGCAAACCAGAGAAACATAGTCCTCATTATAATCATGAAAAATCTATTTCTTAGCTAGAATCTCTAAAGGGGCTTGAGTAATTCTGGAGGCTGGTTTACTAAGGCTATGCAGATGGGCGTGGGTGTACACAGAGAACTGTGGAGAACAATCAGAACAGCGTCTGTGGTTGAATGGCTAAACAGTACAGTATGTAGTACGGTTCTATTTCTAGGGTTTTTGAGAAAAGCATAGAATTATTTCCAAAATGGCTTTCCTAGTTTACATCCCCACAAGCAGTGTTCAACAGTGTCCCTTTCCTCACGTTGGTGTCCGAATTCATTATAAAAACTGGTGATGGCCACTCTGATTGTGGGGAGATGGAATATTAAAGGAGATTTGGTCTTCATCCCTTTGATAGCTGTGCATACATGCCTTTTGGTCAGCATGACTTGAGAAATACACAAGCTAACTGCACAGCCCAATCAGGAGACACAAGTGTACAGGCATATCTGGTTCCTATTGACTTTAATGACATTATGGAATTAAATCAGGAACTCTAAAAGAAATGATCAAATCTCTTGATTGATATCACACACCAAAATTACACCAACACACACTAACTCGGGAGATTTGGGAGCTGCATCGGAAACGAAGTAGGGATAAATGCACCCTGATTTTAAAGAAAGGCATAGAAGCAGATTGATTTGCTGCAGAGAAGCTACTGAAAATATTCCTTGTTGTAAAATGAAGACAAGACTTCCAGGTTCTTTATGAAATTTATACTACCTGATATCAAAGCACATGACGAGGCAAAATGAAAAATTTTAACTTTTATAATTATTTTTTCACCACTTCACATAATAGACCTTGCTTCGTGCACACCCTGGTCCCTCACTCCCTACAACTGTGGTGCATACACATCCTTCTCTCTGTGTCCCTCCCTGTCTCTCCCCATCTTTCTCTCCCTCATTCCTTAACACTCTCATGTTCATTTCTATACATTTTTTTGGTTGACCAAGTTTAACCAGCACCACCTGTGAGAATATATTTTTGGAGCTATATATTGGAGCTGTTGGTTTGATCACGAATAAAAAAATGAAAGACAGTAATGCCCCTTTTCCTAAAGCCTATCCATAATCACAGTTGGGAGATAAAGGTTGGGGCCCTTTGAACCTCTCCCCTTTCTAGAGTGATTGTGGCTAGGCCTGGTCTTGAGTGATCCCAGTGCAGGTGAGTACAGGTGCTCTGATTTACTGATTACGACTTGTGTGGAGTCTGGAGAATGGCATGCCACGGCCGTTCCCCATCTTTCTTTTCGTATTTCCTTCCCACACCTCCTCCTCAATACTCCTAGAGCCACAGCAGGCAGGGTGTAACCGATTTGTTCAGGGCTGAGCCCATTTATTTCATGTACTTTCCGCACCTTGGTTAGCCACTAGCGTCTACATTCGCCACTGAGTTCTCAAATGGAATTTTCTGTGTTTTCTATAAAAGCACCTTTGATATGTTTCGCAGAAGACAAACCTGTTTCTGAGTTAGCAAACCACAAAGTCACCATCTGACAGCACAGGGTGACTTCTAACTAGGCGGTTAATGGGCTGATTCACCCCAGACTTTCTGAGACACCCATTTCCTTTCAAAATCCCGAGTTCCTGAAGTGTTTTACTCCAAGTCAACATTGCTAATAGCGGGATTCGATGTTTGAGAAGAAATAGTGGGGGGGGGGGTTGTGAAGGAAGGGTGGAGATGGTTTCTTAGTGTCTCTCATTTGCACAGTGGTGGAAATGACTATCCAGTTTCCCAGGAAAGCTCTCCAGAGTGAGTGACTGTGTTTAAAATGTAGACTATTTCAAACAAGTGTCCAACATACAGATGGAACTTCACTTTTACCTTTAACTGGTGCTACTTTTGTGGAGCAGTTTTATTTTTATTTATTTATTTATTTATTTTGGTTTTTCGAAACAGGGTTTCTCTGTGTAGCTTTGGAGCCTATCCTGGCTCTCGCTCTGGAGACCAGGCTGGCCTCGAACTCAGAGAGATCCTCCTGCCTCTGCCTCCCGAGTGCTGCTGGGATTAAAGGCGTGCACCTGGCGATAATTTTTATTTTAATTCATTTTTTTTGATTGAGCCACCCAGCTTCTCTCCCTGTCTTCAACCCCTGATATTCTGTCTCCTGCTTCATGGATTTCTTTGAATTATTATTAGGCTTACTGATATTTTTCATTTTATTCGAGTTTTTTTTCCGTGGTGTTTGTAACTACTTACTGAATTTAATTTTCATACCTTCCACTGTCTTCACATCCTTCAGGCATTTAGCAGTGTGTCCTTGGCCAAGATCATTTTGTTCCTATCTTTTGAGTTGATTCACACGTGTTACATGTTTGACCATTTTGAACATGACTCTGCTTTTTTGAGTTCTGTATACAGGATATCATTTCACTTGGGGATAGTGGTACGGTTTGTGCTTTGAGCCGAGGCCGTTTTATTTTAGCTTGAATGGATTTTGCGAGTGGGCCCTGAGCCTCACATTTTAGGGTGTTTGTTGTGTTTTGCTGTTTTTTATTTTTTGTTTTTAGAGACAGGGTTTCTCTGTAGCTTTGAAGCCTGTGCTGCAACTTGCTCTGCATACAGGGCTGGCTTCCAACTCACAGAGATCCACCTGTCTCTGCCTCCCTAGTGCTGGGACTAAAGGAAAGAGCCACCACCAACCAGCTTGCTGTGTACGTTTTTAACCCAGGAGGCAGGATTCAATGAGCATAGTTAAAAAAAAAAATGCCTTTCAGACATAGTTTAGTTATGATCCCCATTGCACCCAAGGCTGCACCTGACAACCTTCAGAACTTCCGTGTCATCACTCAGCCAAGGTAACCGGACAACCCTAGACCCCACGGCACCCACCGGACAGTGTTCAAGCGGAGATCAAGAGCAGCGCTTTGCTCTGCCCATCCGGCGAGAGGCCACCTTCATCCGCGCAGCGTCTGGAGAGTCACCCTGGGATCCTCACCCTCCAATCAGAGACTCGCGTTAGAGACCCGGCCTGACCTTCAGCTGAGTGAGACCTGTCCACGGGCGAGCAGCCCCGAGTGTGAGCCTGGTGCCAAGACCCTCACTCCGCCAAACACAACAGAACCCTAGGTATGCAGACCACGTGCACCTGCCTTCTCGCTGACGTCACAGGAGAGCCCGTCTCCGGAGGTCTCAGCGCTCACTGCGGGGTCAGACACCGGGGCGCAGCGTCCTCCTGGCTGCAGCTCTGGTCTGGGCTGCAGCAAGCGTGTGCGGAGCCTGTGCAGAGCGGGTCCAGGGCGGCCTGAGCTGTGTGCAGGGCGGCGGGAGATGGAGGGGAGGTGGGCGGGGCCCCGGGG